ATGATGGCTTTTGATCGCTATGTGGCCATCTGTAACCCTCTGAGGTACCCCATCATCATGAGCAAGGTGGTTTATGCTCTGATGGCTTGTGTGTCGTGGTTCTCTGGTGGAATAAATTCAATTGTGCAAATATCTCTTGCCATGCGATTACCTTTCTGTGGAAATAACATTATTAATCATTTCTTGTGTGAGATCTTAGCTGTCCTTAAGCTCGCTTGTGCTGATATATCCCTCAACATTGTTACCCTAAGTGTTTCAAATATGGCCTTCCTGGTCTTTCCTCTTCTGATTATTTTTTTCTCCTATATGTTCATCCTGTGCACCATCTTGCAAATGAATTCAGCCACAGGAAGACGCAAGGCCTTTTCCACCTGCTCAGCTCATCTGCCTGTGGTGATTGTATTTTATGGTACCATCTTCTTTATTTATGCAAAACCCAAGTCTCAAGTCCTCTTTGGGAAAAGTAGTTCCCAAGCTTCTGAAGGGCTTTTTTCCATGTTTTATGGGGTAGTGACTCCCATGCTGAATCCTATAATCTATAGCTTGAGAAATAAAGATGTGAAAGCTGCTATGAAATATTTGTTTTGTCGGAAAACAGGTAACAGAACCTAACTATTGATCTTTAATGAGGAATTAATGTAGCCATTCTATAATGCATCAAAATATCATGTTGTATACCATGATCATATAAACTTTATATTTGTCACTTCAAACAAATTTAAAACCAAAATAAAGTGGTATTATTTGGTAATCATAAAGGATCTTGTTTGGGGAAAGAAATATTATAGGGAGAGAGATTTACTCTTTGCCTTCATTAGCTCCGCTCAACTACAATCCCTGAGAATAGCAGTGTGCTTAAATCAGAGTCTAAAAAGTTCTGATCCATCTGTTTCAAAGACAATGAATTCCTTTAAAATCTTATCCCTGAAATATGTGTTTTTGGTGTACTTGTGGTAACACACTGGAAAGTATCACACTTAAGGTTTAAGATAGCAGGAATATAAATTTTGTTCTTTCGAAAACCATTTACATATATGAGGCAGGCTATTCATCCTTTCTAAACTATAGTTTTATTGTTTTCAAAAAATAGTAAACTCTATCCCTAATGTTACTGTAAAGATTCAATAAACCACATAAAATACCTGTGCAGTGCCAAGTTTATAGTATTTCCCTATGTAGAGGGTGCTGAGTTTGACTTTTCCTATTGAGTCAGAATTTAGAAATTGAAGTAAAAGACATAAGCTAGGACCTTTTAGTTTTGTCAGTTACCAATCATTAGAGTCCAGCACTGCTCTCTGAAAGGTTTTATATTAATATTAATCACCATCCCTTTTTGCCATTTCACCAGAAAATTTATATAAAGAAAGCATCAACCAGTTGCTGTGGAAAACTAAGAATTCTGTTTTTTTGTAATTTAAGTCAAATGAGGAGATGCCACAGAAGACCTTTTTGAAGTTTTGAGGTACCTGCAAAGAAAGAGAAATTAACATCTGGCTTGCAGGATGGAGGATTGCTGAGCTGTCTCCCTGTAGGGTTTACACTAGGAGAGGAACTAGTCTAGAAGTGAGCGAGAATGAGTATCCTAGAGCTGAAAATAACCAGAAAGTTTTAAGTTTGCCTGAAATATTTTACTTTGTATTTCATAAAATCAACCAAGACAGTGTTTTTCCATAACCAGAATAAAATTATTAACATAGGGAGATATTTAATACTATTATTTTATTTAATGGTCAACAAAAAATGACTTTGTGCAAAACCTGGCCCATAGACTATCTTTATGTGGCCTCCTAAGCTAAGAATGATGTTTACATTTTTGAACTGTGGAGGAAATTAAAATAATAATATTTTGTGACACATGAAAATTAAATTAAATAAATATCACACTTGAGTATCTGTAAAGTTAAAAAAACTCTTTATTTGCAAATAACTATAGACTCATAGAAATTTGTAAAAATAGTAGATACTATACTATGTATCCTTTTCCCAATTTCCCTCTGTTCTGATATTATATTATTGTAGTAAATAGCAAAATCACAACTGGCTCAATATTATTAATTAGATTACAAAGCTTTTACAGTTTTACTATTTTAAAATGTATTCATGCATCATTGAGGCGATACTCTTAAGTGAAATAAATAGGACACACATGAATAAATACTGAATAGTTTCTCTGGTGTGAGAAACTGAAAGTGTAAATAAGG